CCCCCACTGTCCTTCGTCGAGCTCGCACTGGTCGGTGATGGCATGGATGCTGCGCTTGAAATCGTCGCTGGTGACATTCTCCGCCACAATGCCAACGATGATGCTCGCGCCCCCGTCACGGCCCCACCCCAGTAGATTCTCGCAATCTTCGATGAAAATCTGGATTTCCTGCACGTGTGGCAGCTTTCGCAGTTCTTCAACTTGTGCCCGTGGTGCTGCTTGTTCGGCCTCGAGTTTGGGTGATGCCGCTTGTACTGAATGAGTATGTCTTTGGAACTGTTCGTTATGCTAGGCTTGCTGTCCGATCACCGCCCCCAGTGGGTCCCGGAACCGCGCGATGAACTCCGCGATGACCCCTGGCTTGACTGTTACCAACTTCGCGCCCATCTGCGCTGAGAGGAAGTCCTGCGAAGCCTTGACCGCGGCACTGACGGCCTCCATGGGATCCACGGACTCGGTGGCAACAATCGATCACCCACCCATTTCAAGCCCACCGCGGCCAGCAGGTGTTTCATCACTTCTTTGTCGCCTGTCGCTGCGCCAGGGATCTGCAACAGGCCGATGGAGTGGGTCATCAGCTGGACCTCCACAAGCACCAGTGCTGGCGGCAGGAAGAGCGGGACCGCCAGAAGGAGCGCCACCTCCCAGAGCATCTTGCGCCATGCTGGAAGCAGCGGGGGACATGCGCGGACCTGGGGTTGACCAGGAAACCACGAAAAAAATATGGAGGTGCCTGGGGCTGACCAGGACTTGAATATGGAGCGCGGGGGGATGACCAGGACTCGTTGCTTTGAGCTGGAGATCGCGGTCGAAAACTCGGGGTGGATGGGAGACGATCCCGCTTAGGCAGATGATGAAGCACGGTGTTGGTCTTGAGTCAAATTCATTACGGATATGTATATATATATGTAAGCATGCATGCATACATACATACATACATACATACATACATGCATGCATACATACATAGATACATACAGACAGACAGGCAGGCAGGCAGGCATGCAGGCATACACACACATACATACACACACACACACATACATACATACATGCATACATACATACATACATACATACATACCTACATACATGCATGCATGCATGCATGCATGCATACATACATACATACATACATACATACATACATACATACATACATACTTACATACATACATACATACATACATACATACATATATACATACATATATACATACATACATACATACATACATACATGCATGCATGCATACATACATACATACATACATACATACATACATACATACATACATACACACACTCACATATATACACATATATACCTACATACGTACGTACGTGCATCCATACATACAAACAAACAACCAACCAAACACATGTATGTTGCGGAAAATCGCACGGTCTGTCGATACTGGCTTGGCTGGCCTATGAATGTTGTGGGATGAGCGGCCGTGCCGAAGAAATACCATCAAAAACTGCAAGGGAAGCGCGAACCCAGGCCTCGGCGGGGGGGGGAGAGTCGAACTCGCTCAGGGAAAGGAATCCGCGTGGCGCAACCAATGCGGTGCAAGCTAAACGGCCCAAGCTGTCGCCAATCCACGTGGTACAATACACTGTTGGTCTGAATCATTTGGCGTACTACACGTGGTGGCGCACGCAACGCATCTTCACTCATGAATTGTCGTTCCCACTGCTCGCACAATCACCCCACCCTGCAACTCGCAACTTGCTTGCGCGACCCATGCGGCCGCGACTGCAGTGACTATTTGGCAACAGCTGGCGCGTTTCTGCGGCTGCGCCAGCGCGCGCTAGTTTGCGCGCAGAGCGACCAGCTGGGTATGCACAACCGATGCGGCCGCGATGGCGCTTACCGAAAGCAATTTCCGAACGCATGTCCAAAACCGCGCTGGCGCACAGGCACGTCAATGCGGGTCGGTGACACGGGTGAACGATGTATCATGATGACGCCGGCGACGACGGCAACAATGCTGATAGTAGCGCGATGCGAACGATGACGGCGTGCATCACCAATGACGGCACCGATAGTGGTGACAACGATGTCGATGATGATGTCCATGTGTCGATAATGAAGGTGTTTGAGTGATGAAAGCCACGACGACAGCGATTGTCAATCACGATGACGAGATCGGGGGGCACTGATGAGGGTGGTGGTGAGGTAGTGCGAGCGCGCAAAAACTCAGCTGATATGGCACACCTTTTGTCGGAAAGAATGTCAATGTTCATATGTTGACACGCTCTAACTTGAAACGCTTCGAAAACTAATTGTGATGGACGGATTTCGACGCGCGCGCGTGGCGGTGCGCGCGTGTGGCGCACGGTAGTGTGTGATACGGATTCGTGCAGTGGGCGCGTGCCTGTTCAACGCGGATGCACGGCGTGCTGAGCTAAGACAATATCGCGAGGCGTTCAAATGATTTTAGCAAATGTACGCGACCAAGAATATCTGCAATAATTGCGATGGAAAACCTGGCATGCGTTATACGTGTACGTTGGAATGTATGTAATGTTGTTGTTTGGTATGCTTTCGACATGTACGCGCGCACGTGGATGTTGTGCAGATTTTGGTTTGCCAACGATCATTGACAGATTATGTATCTCAATCATCGAATGTGCGTGCATGTCTCTTGACAGGGACGAAGGGGGGGATACCAATGTGGTTGGGGTGGTAAGAATTCATACAGCATGTGAGCGACGAGGCAAAATCATGTAATGTGCAGCGTCCCTGGGAGGGCGATTAATCCAGGTGCGAGAGGGTGGTGGAGTCGTTTCGCTTCTTGACAAGGAGAACCTACGCGATGCAGTATATGTGGTGCAAACTATGCATTGCAAGTTGTGTGCTGCAAGCTGTGTGATGCAACCTGCGCGATGCGCTATACATGATGCAAAAGATGTGTGTGAGCTACGTGGTGCACCCAACGCCCAGGGCGGCCTCGGGCGGACACCGGGCGAAGCCTCGCCACACCCACGGCGCACGGGGCGCCCACGAAGCGCCCGCAGCGGGCCACCCACCCGGCAGTGGGCAAAGCCTGGACACACCCATCCACGCGATTGAGAGCACAAGGAAGAACCCGTGATTGCAAGCACTGTTTGTGAAGAAGGACTGGCAAGAATCACGATACTGATGGCATTAGCCATCGCGCACCCCAAAAGGTGTTTCTAGCCATCTACGTTGCACCGTGTGCAATCTATGTGGAACAACATATGTGACAAACTGCGCTGTGCCATCCACGTGGAACAATCTCTGTGGCGCGACTGAATTTTTGAAACGAGCTGACAAATTCACCCCCTGCAAACACCCCACCCACCCACCCACAACTTGGTTTATTTGCCAAACCCATGCGGCGGCGATTGCGATGAATGCTTGGCGGTGGCTAGTGCATCTCCGCGGCCGCGCTAGCCCGCGCACGCTCGCGCGCACAACGGCCAACTAATTTGGCGCGATCAACGCGGCCGCGGTGGCGCTGACCGCTGGGCACTTCCCAGCGGGCACTCGGTGAGTTGGGGGGCGCGGTATCATGGCGACGCCGATAAGGGTAGACACGATTATGGCAGTAGGGATGATGGTGACGATGGTGGCGATGACGACGGCAAAGCCAATGACGGCCCCGATGTTGATCACGCCCGCCGACAACGATGACGATGTCCTCGCGTCGGCGATGAAGGTTTTTGGAGTTCGACATGCGCGCGCGGGCGACGCGCGCGTGGCCCGCATGGCATTATTTGACACGGATCGTGTCCCCTCTTTCCCCCCCCCCCACCACCACGCGCGCACGGGCGTTCGACTGAGTTCGACATGCGGCGCGACAGGCCCGCTTGGCAGAATGTGATGGTAATCATGGAATTGCTATGTTTTCCCCAGAAGCCGCAATGCCGCGAGAGCAAAATTTTGTTGAAAACGGATGTTGCAAAACCATGTATGTTTACATGGATTCCGGGTACTCGTTTTGAAATCCTTGCGGCACCTAAGATGTTTGAAAGATTTCGGCATGCGCGCGACGGCGATCGCGTACGCATTCCGTCCCATATGTTGCAGTGTTTTTTTGCGACAGCACGCGCGCAAAAGGCGTTCGAACGATTTCGACACGCGCGCGACAGGTCCACTTGGTATAAGTTAATGAAAATGTTGAAACCGAAGATTTGCTTACGAATTCGCAAGAGCGCGGACGCAGGTTGCTTTGAAAACCCTTGTGCCGACACCCTGCTTTTTGCATGTGTTCGTGAGACTCTCGATTCCGAAATCCTTACGAAACCTCTGGCTGTTGAAAAAACAATCGGCATGCACGCGCGACGACGCGCGCGTCGGGCGCGTGCAGTTCGTGCCACGTACGCAAGGTATTCTTGGAAATTGATGACTTTTGATAAACGGGTGCGCGCGCATAACATTTTTTTGCAGGGGGTGATGAAGGGGGAACCAAACTCCGCCCTCCATGGAATGGTATGAGTTTAAAATGGGCGATGGGGCAAAATCATAAACACATTGCAGCACGGAAAAAGTGTACCGTTAACTCTGGGGGGAGATAGATCCGAATTGTTTTTAGGAAGGGAGAATAGATGTGATATAGCCTGTGTTGTGCAAGCTATGTGGAGCAACACTCGTGATGCAATCTATGGCGTGCGGTCCTTAGTGGACGACGGGCAGCGACGAAACGGCGACGGGGCGACAACGGCGACCACGGAGCCGCCAGAGCGCCACGCAGGCCCAAACGACGGGCGGCGACGAGGCGGCGGGACGGCGACGGCGACCACGGAGCATCCAGACCGCCACGCAGGCCCAGACGACGAGCGGCGACGAGGCGGCGACGGATGTGCAAGGATTGGTATGCTGACGCCCAAAAACGTCGAACTCTGTCGGTCCCAGACCTAACCTCCTACACCGTGGACAATGACAGAAGTGGGACCCGAGGAGAAAACAAAAAAAACACCGAAAAGCAGTGAGACACCACGGTCGAAGAGATTGGATCGTCCTCGGGAGCCCGCCCTTGCCCTCGCCCTTGCCGCCGCCTCCTCGCCAGTCTGACTCTCCAAACCCGCGGCCGCGGTCTTCGAAGTCACCTGAGCATGGCCGAAGGACTCAAGTCCAGGCAGCACCCGCCTCATCATCGCTGCCATCGTCTCTTCCCCGCTGCCTCGTCTATCCTCCCTCTCCCTCTCTGTTCGTCCTCATCATCCTCCTCTTTTTCCTCCTCTGGTTCCTCCTCCTTTTCCTCCTTCCCCCTTCTTCCATCCCACCTCGTGTTCCTCCTCCTCCTCCTGTTCCTCCTCCTCATCATCGTTACCATCACCATTATCAACATCATCATCATCATCATCATCATCATCATCATCATCATCATCATCATCATCGTCGTCGTCGTCGTCGTCGTCGTCATCATCACCCACACCACCATCATCATCATCACCATCACCATCATCATCATCTTCATCTTCATCTTCATCATCAGCACCATGATCATCATCGTCGCCATCATCATCAGCATAATGTTCGTCTTCCGCCTGTCCCTCCTCACGTTCCGTACTCCCCCTCCTCCCTCATCCTGGACTTAGCATAGAATCGACTGCATACAAATCACCGAGGGAGCGCCGCTGGAGGATCCAGACAAGGAGGGGGACCTCCCCCTTTTTCCGATCCATCATCTCGGACCCCCCTTCTTTCCAGATAGGTGGGGTACGGGAAGCGAGGGGTGACGGGGGGGGAAGGGAAGGGGCGGGGGGGGGGGGGGGGGGCAAAAACAATATAAGTTTGTTCGGGCGATACCCTCGCGGAGCGATCCCCACCCGACAACGACGACGGAAACGACCACGACGCCAAAGAGGACGACGACGACGAACACGAGGAAAGACAGGACGACGTAGGCGACGACAACGACGACGACGCGGGAGGAGGGAGGACGGCGACGACGACGACGACGACGACGACGACGACGCAAGAGCGCGCGCGCACGCTTTTGTTGAAAATGCGTGTTGCGAAACCTTGGGTTTTTGTAGGTTTTTGGAGACACGATTTTGAAATCCTTCCCAAACCGATGGGTTTTGAAGGTTTTCGGCATACGCGCGCGACGTCGCGCGCGTCTGCACTTCGTCCCATTTTTTGCAGAGGATTCTCGCGACGGCACACGCGCAAGGGCGTTCGACAGATTTCGACATGCGCGCGCGCGAAGCCCGCTTAATAGCATTCTGTGAAAATCTTGAAAAACCTATGGTTTTGCTTAAGATTTCGCAAGAGCTCGCGCGGAAGCTTTTTTAGCAAATCAGTGTTGCGAAACCCTGTGTTTTTGTACGTGTTTTGGAAACTCGACTGCGAAATCCTTCCGGCACCGAAGGTTTTTGAAGGATTTCGGCATGCGCGCGCGACGACGCGCGCGTGCACTTCGTCCCATTTTTGCAAGGGATTCGTGAAAAAGTGCTATCTTAGAACAAAAAATGTCACCGTATAGTGTTTTTTACCAGGGAACCTCAAGGGGGGGCATACCGGCCCCCCGGGGATAGTGTAAATTCAGATTCAGGATGGACATGTGGTCAGAATCATATATGATTTACATACCCGAAAGGGGGACCGATAATTCCGGGGGGGTAGATCCCATTCTCTTTTTAAAAAGGAGAATCCACTCTGCTGAACTTGAAGTCGTCATCTCCAGTGCTCGCGCAAACATCCCACCCACCCACCCGCAACTTGATTTGCAAAACCTCTTAAGACCGACTACGAAGACACCGACGACAACGACGACGACGACTACGACGACACCGACGACGTCTCCGACGACTTCGACGACGACACCGACGCCGACGCCGACGACGACGAAGACGACGACGACGACGCCAACGAAAACGACGACGAGGGAGGAGGAAGGACGACGACGGCGACAACGACAACAACGACGACAACGACGAGGGAGGAGGGAGGACGGCGACGACGCGAACGACGAAGAAGAAGGACGGCGACGCCGACGACGACAACGACGAGGGAGGAGGGAAGACGACGACGACAACGACGACGACGACGACGGCGACAAAATAGGAGGGACGACGACGAGACGCCGACGACGGACGACGACGACGACGAGGGAGGAGGAGGAAGGACGACCACGGCGACAACGACGACGGAAACGACCACGACGCCAAAGAGGACGACGACGACGAACACGAGGAAAGACAGAGGACGACGTAGGCGACGACGACGACGACGACGTGGGATGAGGAAGGACGGCGACGACGACGACGACGACGACGACGCAAGAGCGCGCGCGCACGCTTTTGTTGAAAATGCGTGTTGCGAAACCTTGTGGTTTTGTAAGTTTTTTGGAGACACGATTTTGAAATCCTTCCCAAACCGATGGGTTTTGAAGGTTTTCGGCATACGCGCGCGACATCGCGCGCGTCTGCACTTCGTCCCATTTTTTGCAGAGGATTCTCGCGACGGCACACGCGCAAGGGCGTTCGACAGATTTCGACATGCGCGCGCGCGAAGCCCGTTTAATAGCATTTTGTGAAAATCTTGAAAAACCTATGGTTTGCTTAAGATTTCGCAAGAGCTCGCGCGGAAGCTTTTTTAGCAAATCAGTGTTGCGAAACCCTGTGTTTTTGTACGTGTTTGGGGAAACTCGACTGCGAAATCCTTCTGGCACCGAAGGTTTTTGAAGGATTTCGGCATGCGCGCGCGACGGCGCGCGCGTGTGCATTTCGTCAATTTGTTTGCAAGGGATTCGTGAAAAAGTGTTATGTTAGAACAAAAAATATCACCGCATTGTGTTTTTTTATCGGGGAACCTCAGGGGGGGATACCGGCCCCCCAGGGATAGTGCAAATTCATATTTAGGATGGACATGTGGCCAGAATCATACATGATTTACATACCCGAAAGGGGGATTGATAACGCCCGGGGGGGGGGGTAGATCCCATTCTCTTTTTAGAAAGGAGAATTGATTTCTGTTCGCAGTGAGCTGTCCACTCCACTGCTCGCGCAAACATCCCACCCACCCAGCCGCATCTTGGTTGACCAAACCTCTTAAGACCGTGACGGTGGGTACCAAATGGCACTTGGCAACGACACCGACGCCGACGACGACAGCGACAACGACGACGACGACGACGCCGCCGACAACGACTGCGACGACACCGACGACGTCTCCAACGACTTCAACGACGCCGACAACGGCGACGACGACGACGACACCGACGACGACGACGATGCCGACGCCGACGACTTCGACGACAATGACAACGACGACGACGACGCCGACGCCGACGACGCCGACGACGACGACGAAGACGACGACAACGATGACGACGACCACGACGTCGCCAACAAAGACGACAACGACGAAGGAGGAGGGAGGACGACGACGGCGGCAACGACGACAACGACGAGAAAGGAGGGAGGACGGCGACGACGCGAACGACGAAGGAGGAGGGAGGACGGCGACGCCGACGACGACAACGACGAGGGAGGAGGGAAGACGACGACGACGACGACGACGACGACGACGGCGGCGAAATAGGAGGGACAACGACGAAACGCCGACGAAGACGACGAGGGAGGAAGGACGACCACAGCGACAACGACGATGGAAACGACCACGACGCCAAGACGACGACGACGACGAGGAAAGACGGAGGACGACGACGGCGACGACGACGACGAGGGAGCAGGGAGGACGGCGACGACGATGACGACGCAAGAGCGCGCGTGCACGCTTTTGTTGAAAATCCGTGTTGTGAAACTCTGTTTTTTTGCATGTTTTTTGGAAACTCGATTTTGAATTCCTTCCGAAACCGATGGGTTTTGAAGGCGTTGGGCATGCGCGCGCGACGACGCGCGCGTCTGCACTGCGTCCATTTGTTTGCAGAGGATTCTCGCGACGGCACGCGCGCAAGGGCGCCCGAAAGATTTCGACATGCCCGCGCGCGAAGCCCGTTTGGTAGTAGGTTTTGAAAATCCTGGAAACAAAAACCTGTGGATTTCTTAAGATTTCGCAAGAGCGCGCGCGTAAGCTTTTTTAGAAAATCAATGTTGCGAAACCCTGTGTTTTTGTGTGTGTGTGTGTTTGGAAACTTGATTTTGAATTCCTTCCGAAACCGAAGGTTTTTGAAGGGTTTCGGCATGCGCGCGCGACGACGCGCGCGCGTGCACTTCGTCCAACTTTTTGCAGGGGATTATTGAAAACTTATGGTTTTTGATAAACGAGTGCGCGTGCCTAGTATTGTTTGCAGAGGATGGCGGGGGGGGCGATACCAGCCTGGCTGGGATAGAATGAATTCATATTTAGGATGGACGATGGGGCACAATCATATGTAAAGTGCAATACGAAGAGGTGGCCTGTTAATTCGGGGGGGGTAGAGTCTATTCTTTCAGAAAGGAGAACCTATGTGGCGCAATCTATGCAGTGCGATCTATGCAGTGCGATCTATGCGAGGCGGCGACGGGGCGGCGACGGGGCGGCGCCGACGGGGCGGCGCCGGCGAGCACGGCGCCGCCAGACCGACAACCCCCCCCCCCCAGACGACGGGCGGCGACGGGGCGGCGACGGGGCGGCGACTGCGAGCACGGAGCCGCCAGACCGACAACTCCCCCCCAGGCGACGGTCGGCGACAACTCCCCCCCAACCCCTTCCCCCCAGTTCGTTAGAACTCCAAAATGCAAGCACTGTTTGGGGAATCCGTTGCGATAAAGTCTCAAGCGAAACGACTGGTCTAGACAATGAACACTTATGGTGGTGCGATAAAGGGGTAGCAATTTACACGGAAGATGATTGGCGGAGGAGGACGACAGTACGGAGGGGGGCCGGAAGTTCTGGATGCTTTCGATTACTTTCGAAAGGTTGTGGTTGAGTTCTGAAAGTATTCGGCGGTTGTCTGACGTTTCCGAAGATTTCTTGCGGGGAGAGGAAGAGTTCGGAGGAGAACGAACGTGGAGCAGGGAGGTATGTAGCGAAAGGGCAAGGGGAAAAAGAATCAAAGGGTGAGGGGGAAGGGTGAAAAGGCAATGGAAAGGGTAAGGGACAAGGGGGAGGGGCAAACTACGTGCGCTCGCGGCTTATCTGGTATATCTGACATTCGAAGGCATCGGAAGCATGGAAGAAGGGTAGAGGAAGGAAGGAGGAGAGACGAGGGAAGGGGAAGGCCAGACCAGGCGAAGCTAAGGGGGGGGCCTTTACCCTTGCTCTTTCCGAAGTCCTTACCCACGCTGTGCGATGGAAGAGCCTCCTGCATGGCGTTGCCACCAAATGCCTGATTGGCATCATCCTCATCATCACCTCCTAATCCGTAGTCCTCCGCATCATCATCCTTCGCGCCCTTTTGCTCCGACTCCGATCATTCCTCCTCCGCATCTCCCCTCGTACGTCTCGTACTATTCCCCGGACAATGATTGCCGGGCCCCATACTTCTCTCCTACCTGCTAGGAACTGAGATGGGTCAAGCGAGGTTTCGCCCTGTGCCCAGTCGGTGCCCACTTGGTGCCCGCCCGTGGGCGCCTCGTGGGCGCCTCGTGGGCGCCTCGTGGGCGCCTCGTGCGCCGGGTGGGCGTGGCAGGGCTTCGCCTGGCGCCAGAATGGCGCCCGCCCGCCGGCGCCTCGTGGGCGCCCCGTGCGGCGCGCGGGTGTGCCACGGCTTCGCCACGGTGCCCGCCCAGGGCCGCCCGGGGGCGCCTCGCGGGCGCCCCGTGGGCGGCGAGCCGCGCGCGCCTCGCGTGCGCCCGCGGAGCTTGCACCACAGCGCTTGCACCACACAGCGCGCAGCACATTACCACGTGGACTGCGCCCCACGGCGCGCACCACACAGCCTGCACCGCACGCACTGCATCAGCAGGCTTGCATCACACAGCTTTCGCGACACAGTGTGTGCCACGTAGCTCGCGCGACAGAGCGTGCACCGCACACATCTTGATTGCATCATAAAGTTTGCATCGCGCAACTTTGACCACATAGCTGGTAGCACATGTACTGCATTCTGCACTGAAAACGTCGCATACAAAGGAAAGGAACCAATGAGTAAAGAACCTGGAGGCTCGAACGATCGAGTTCCGAAATCATATGTCCAGAGGGATGTCCGTAACTCTCGCAACTGGAAACCTGACTCCAAACACCTGTACTTGCTGCTTCTCGGGAATCATCAAAATAACACAACACTGATAAGAATTAACATTCGAGGCCGAACTTCACCTTTAGCCTCTGATCCAGCCGCCGGCGCCCTGAAGGCGAAAAATACAAAGGGCCATGGTGTTTTTGCGTCGGTTCCGGCCGACGGCGCTATCGTGCTGCTCCCAGGATCAATCGCCTAGCGTTTGCGATCCAAACTGGCCAGCACCACTATTAGTATGTATCCTCCCCCTCCTCGGCCTCCTCCATCATCATCGTCATCACCGTCATCATCATCATCATCGTCATCATCGTCATCGCCCGACTACTCCAGCACATCCTAGTCCTCCAAGAACGAGTGTTCCGCTCTCCTCGCCGTCCCCGTATCCTCCTCATCAACGTCCCACTAAATCCAGCTCCAGCTCCAACTCCAAATCTGGCTCATCCTCCCTCATCATCCTCAGTATCCTTGTCCTCGTCCTCATCTTCATATGCCCATGATGCTCCTGTCGACATGGTGGTTTGTTTCTTGTTGCTGTCGCGATTGGGTTGCAATGGGGCCATGAGCTGCTGTTCGGAAAGGCCTCATTGCCTTCGTATTCTTCTGATCTCGTCGTGAGTAAATGGTGGTCAGTCAAGGTACCAATTTCGTGCTGCTGCCGGTGCGATGCTGGGTAGGGTCTCGTCGGGAAGGCAGCATCGCTGTTCGTGTCCTGATGACTTTGCCCGCGCCCGTCGCGTCGGGATGCTAAGCCTCTGACCATGCTAGCGCCTACCCCTTCATCATGGAAGCGGTGGGGGTGGCAAGCTATGGCGGGCCGCGGGGGCGCGGGAACTGCTCGTCTTTCCCACCCCCCCTGCCCCTCACCGCCTCCCCTGGCAGGCGCAAGCAGTGGCCGCGCTGCTCCCCCGCCCCTCGGACCCGTCCCGAGGTTTGGTCCTTGCCCCCTTGTTCGTCTGACCGCCGGATCTATGGTGGGAACCAGTGTCTTGGGATGCTGTCGAGACTGCCGGCCTTACGTTTGGCTCGTTCTGTCGCTGGTGTAGGGGCGGCATTGCGCTGGCTTCGGGTAGACTGTCGATGCGGCACCGGTCACTTGAGTGACAGGGGCAAGGGATTGTCTGAAGCTGGCGGTCGTGATGTTCGTGCTCGTGGTCAGTGCTGGCAAGCCGCCGGTACCTGTTTTTGCGCGGGCGTCGGTTGGGGCGTTTCTGCCGGCGTTGGGCGTTGTCGCATCGGTCGTGCTGGTGGCGCGCGCCCATTTCGCAAATCTTCGGCCGTCGAACACGGCGCCGTCGCCCACGCCGATCTGGCCGTCGTCTTCGTCGAGGAACGCGTCTTGAATGTTGACGAACTGGATGGCCCCAACCCCCCTTGCGCAATGGGTTGGCTGGTCGTCGGTCCTCGCGTAGAACTGAGCATTCGGCCGTCGATTGCGCGGCCTCTATGTCGAGGTGCGTGAATTGCAAAGCTTTGGCATCTGTGAGCCAACATGGCCAGTCGCCTGTCGCTCGCTCGCATGCGCAGGCCGGCCGGGCCACGGCGGCGTCATTGCCGTCGCCCTTGCGGGCCCCGCTCGTGGAGACGCGGGGCACTCGAACCTCACCTCCTTGCGCTGGCGCACGGCATCTCTGCCGACTGGTGGGCCACTTCCAGACGCGGCGCCGGTTGGTCGTTGTTGCACTGCGTCTAACGTGCGAAATGGAGGGAGCTGCTACAATCCAGCGTCGATTGCTGTCGGGTCGCCGCGGTAGTAGTTGTCCCACTCCGCCGGCCTCCCTCCCGACGCCGGTGGTCGTCGCCCTCTTCCTCGCGCAATCGTCGGGTTCATCCATATATGCTGGTTTCTTGCGGGGGGGGCCGGGCTCGCCGCTGGCGGCGCCAGCCGCGTCGGCCCATGGCCGCCCTGGCAAGATTTCGCTGCGGGGGCATGCTCTAGCGGTCGCTGCAACAGCGGGGGCCGTTCGGGCCCGTCGCCCCTCGCTCGCCTGTGCGCTGCTGGGCGGCGTGCTTCCCGCAAGTGAACACCACTCATGCGATTGGAAATCGCGTCTAGTGAATCTACGGGGCCGACAGTTACGCGCGGCTGCCCGGAGCCAGCCAGGCGCCCGCGCTCGCGATCAAGACTTCGCTCGGCGGCAGCACTGCGCGGTGGATGCCGGCAGCCGTCTCTGTCGCTCGGTCTCCTGGCGCCGCGCGGCTGCGTCGCTAGGCCACTGGACCCCCATGGGTGCTGAGCCCCGCTCGGTTGTTTCGGCGGGACTTTTGCGGCGCCCCTGGTGGTCGAAGAAGGCGGGGCGTCGGTCGCCCGGGCCTTCGAAGCCTCCACCGTCGTCGCGCATGCGCATCTTCTTGCGGCGCTCGCTGTGCGGCGTTCTGCCGGCGGTCGCTCTTCCTCCGCGCTGTCCGCAGCGGCGGTTCTGACCTCGAGAGCTCGGGCGTCGCGACGCGAATCCGCGGCGGCGGCTCGGCAAGGCTGGGCGGCCCCGTTGGCGCGACGCCGCGAATCGGCGCGCGTCTGGCGCAGTTGATTATTTTTGCTCGTCGTCGCAAAAGTCGATCAACAGAAATGTCGTCGGTGCCGTCTTCTTTTGGTCGCTGGAGTCGGCTCGCTTCAGGCGGGGCCGACGTCGGTCGCCGCGCTGGGAACTAGGGCGCGCCAGCGAAAGGAATCGGCGCGATCTGCTCGGTTGGGACTGGGGTCAGGCTGGCTTGCGGCGTCGCCATGAGCAACGGGTCGCGGTCGTCGCTTGCTCGCATATCGGGGTCTCTGCCGACGTTGGGCACTGGCGCTGTCGCGCCGTCGTCTGCCGCGGGGCGTCGAGCGATGCCAGGGCCTCCTGGGGGCCGATCCTGCAATCGCGCGGGGCATCCCGCAGCGGGCGTCGGCGTCAAGCTCGAGGGCGGCATTGGTGGAGAGGCCGACGTCGGAGGGAGCGGGTCGAACCCGCGGTCGGGGTGCAGCGTCGTCGGGCGCGGCTGTCGGAGTTGACGGTCTTCTTCTCGGCTGCAGCGACGCCTCGGAGCTGCGCGATGTCATCAAGTCGTGCGCACTGATCTGGCATGATGGCGCGGAGACCACCCTGAACTCATGTTTGCACCCGCCCTTCTTCGCGCTCAGCAAGATGTTGATCTCGTCGCTCCATAACGTTTTCGCCCTGCTCTACCTGCTGGAGTGCAAGTTCGGGCCGTTGCTGTCTCAGTCGATGCTGACGCGCGCGCTGCAGTACTTCTTGGAGCTGCTCATGTCGTTGACGTTGGTGCTAGTACTGCACGTGGCGCATCTGCCCCTGGGCCTTCATCTGCTCCTTGTGCATCCATGTTTCAGCCTCCTCGCACTGAAGCCGTTGTTGCCGGTGGAACTGCGCCTGCATCTGGCCGCATCGGACGAGGATATGCTCCTGGACGCTGCTTTGGCGCCCGCCCCCGGTAGCATCCCGCATTTGCATAAGTTATTGCGCTCTCTCGCTCCTATCCGCCTGTGCCTTCGCGCGGTTGATCTGGACCTGCTGCTCGTACTGGTGCTGCAGCTGTTTATTCTTGCGACCCGTTGCCAATCGAGATTGGTTCTTCTCCTCCTGACTTAAGCGCGCTCCACTTGCAGCTGAGCGGCCCATTCGTAAAGTTGGCGTTCGTATGTTCGCATTCCTGCACGAGCTTGACGGTCCATGTGGATGTTCTCAGCGCGCTGCCTCGAGCCCCCCGCCCCCACCGTCTCCCCATGATATTCGCGGTAGATATGCTGTCGTCGTCCTTCGCGCGAATAGATTAGATCCCTCATGCTCTTCTAGTCAGTGTCGAGGTCGACGTGGTACTTTTCTGTGGTCGTGGGCTTCGCTGTGGCCGCGAAACTGCATTGCATATGTTGGGTCAGTGTCGTCGCGTGTTTTGTTTGTTTTGGTCCTGGCTCATCCCGCTTCGGCACACGTCGTGCATGATTGCCCCTGCATGCTCGATGTGCCGCTTTGCCTCGCTCACCACAAATCTTCTGCTCAAACGCGAATGGTTCCGATTGCTCTCTGATGTGGCACGATGTGGATTGGAATCCTTTGCCGCGATATTTCCTTCAAGCCGCTTGATTGCGCGTTCGTGTCTGGTCCCCACTGTCTGGCATGATTCATTACACGGGTGTCTTTCTTTGATATGTGTCGTTTTCTCCTGCGCTCTTTCTTGCAGGTACACAAAGCGTCGCTGAAATACTCATTGACGTTCTTGCTGTTGATCGAGTCGCTGGTTTATCTGGCCGATGGGCTGCTTGATACCGTCGTTACTGCCATTGTTTCGCGGATATGGCGCCGCTGCCCGTCAGTTTGTATCTACATGTCCTTATTGCTTCGTCCTGCTGCTCTCGCCGTGCTCGTTGCTGTCGCTGTCGGGAGTCGTGGTGTCGTTCTTGCTCTCCGTCAAGAGCTGCTGGTACACCTTGGTGCGCTTCAGGATGGTGGGCTTCGTCTCTGGCTGGTACTACAACTGTGCGCTCATGCCCTCGAGTTCCTCTTCCATCTGTTCAATATATGCCCTGTCGTGCTGTTGATTTTTGCCGCGGGCCCAAGGATCTCATTGGCGTTCGTGATGGTCGCCGCTGCTTCGTGCCTGATACTTTCATAATCGGATCAGGCTGCCCCTGCCCCAGCAATATGATCCAGAAGCCTTAATAATCTAGCTAGCGCCCTTCGTGCGGATCCATAGTTCGGCCATCTGGCCATCTCGAGGTGCCTCGCTCCAGCGTGCATGACCATTGGCCATCTGAGACGTAGCAAGGCCGATAGCACTGAGGATATCCTTCTGCTTCTTGGTGTACTGGTATTCGGATTCCTTATTGATGTCCTGGTGTTCGTGTTCCGTCTTGCTTGGAGGTCTCGTCTTCGGTGTGTCCCTTTTTGAAGCCCTGCATCCTTTCTTTTGTTCATGCAACTGTTTGTCACCATCGCCTCTCCATATACTGCTGCTTCGTCCCCTCTGGCAATGATCATTTCTCCGTAATTACGGCCTTTCTCCCACTGGTGCGCCTCCAGCATTCGTCTTGCCGTAGCGCGCCATCTCGGAGTTCTGGGCTATTTCGTCAAAGCCGTTGTACTGATGGTTGCGCTGGTGCTGCTGCGCCGAGCGGTGGCTGTCGAGCAGGGTCCTCGCTGCTGCCACCTTCAACAGGGCGTGGGCGCTCGCTCTGGCCTGGCGGCCCCGCCTGTGCCAGGCGCTCTCGCCCTCTCGAGGCGTCCTTGCCTCGACAGCGCCGCCTCCGCCGCGGAGCGCGGCCGCGGTTCCCGCGGCGAGGGGCAGGGCACGGAAGCCCCCTGCCACGGGATATGGCGACACGCGTGAGCCCCGCCGCCGCTGGCCAGCCTCCCTGTGAGGCGCGGCCCGCTCGAGCGCGCGGTTGCTTATCCTCCTCCTCCTCCTCCGCCTCCTCCGTCTCCTCCTCCTCCTCCTCCTCCTCCTCCTCCTCATCCTCATCCTCCTCGTCCTCGCTTTCATCCTCTTCCTCGTCGTCGTCATCGTCATCGTCATCGTCGTCAACTTCATCATCAACGTGGTCATGGCCACAACCATCCTGTCATTTGCACTCTTCTTCACCATCATCAGCATCAACATCATTACCATCACCGTCGTCATGTCCATGTGAATATCCTCCTCCTCCTCCACCTCCTCCTGGTCCTCGCCCTCCTCCTCCTCCTCCTCCTCAGACTACTCGTTTTCCTCCTCTTCCACCTAATATTCCTGCTCCTCCTCTTCTGAACGCCTGATTGATCTCCGCCAGGGACATCTTCGCCTTCTTGGGCGCCATGGCGACGAAGGCTCTGGCGCAGGACTAATGGCCAAAAGCCGGGGGCCCAGACAAGTGAGATCGACGGGGTCCCCAGGAGGCCGAGAAGGGGGGTGGGGGGGGAAGGGGAGAAGGAGAAGAAGGACGGGTCTGAGGAGCAACATCAGCAATGATAGGACAACTGCAGCAGGTGCAAGATGAGCTGGAGGAGATGCAGGAGCAGGAGCAGGGATCAGGACGAGCAGGACGAGCAGCGTCAATGTGAGGCGGCAATTTCAGTGGATCCGAAGTCGGCTACATTGTTCTTTTGTTGGCGCAGTGCCTCGACTGGCTCGGCTCGCCTTCGGGAACCGTTCCCATGCCCTGGAAGGATGAGGAGGCCGCGGCGAAGGTGTCGAAAGCTCCTGGGGCTGGCGAATCGACGAAAACGAATCGTCGAAGTCTGGGTCGGACGTGTGGCCTTTTTGACGGCGTGAGCCCCTGGAGCTCCTAACTCCTCCCCACAGGGGGGCCGTCTCCTCTGACAAACTTCGTGCCGTCCGCCACGAGCGGATCCAGGGGGCTCCCTGCTGCAACACCCTCTCTGGAAGGAGAATCAAAAAGGGCAGTTCACGAATCGACTTGGCAAGGCGGGGGGTCCATGCCAGACACCCGGTGTCTTGATGTTTTCAATACGGGGTCCCCAGGGCTAGTTTTCCATCCCGAGCCGATTTTGATGGTCTGCAGCCCGGCGAGGACCCCTGGAAGCCGAAACTGCCAAAGACCTTCCGCCGTGATTCTTTCACGGCGCGAGCATGTATGGGCGAGTATCGTCCGCCCCGAATTCGCGGCGCACGTAACAGGGGTCAGCGCTGACGTAGGCCAGCCAATCCCCTCCGATCCCCTCTGGCTGACCCGGGCTTGGGAGGTATAATTGTGAAGCCGACCCCGCAACCCCTCCCTCCGCTGACCCAGGGTTGGGAACTACTGAGCGGCCAGCCCAGCTTCGCGACTGGGCCCTGGGTCCTGGACGACCCGGGCATGTGCTGACCCGCGGTCCCCCCAGGGGTAGTGCGTCCCCGATGGTCAGACTTCGGGCTCCGCACAAACAGCCTCCCCAGGTAGTAGTCCCAGCTGGCCTCAACAGGCCCCCCGAGTAGTCTGGCGCGGCGTGAACACCCCAACCCTAGGGCCCGGAGCGCCCCAGGGGCGCCGCCAGAGGCGGCGCCAGGGTGTTGAGACCACGACCACGCCAGACTAAATTACTCGGGGTGCTTGTTGAGGCCAGTTGGCATCACTCGGGGGGCCTGTTGAGGCCAGCCAGGCATACCGGCATACTTGGGGAGGCCCTCTGTGCGCAACCCGACGCCTTGCCAGTCCTCAGCGACTGGATCTCTCGGGGGCTCCGGCTTTCGGCGCGCGGCCCCGCGGTGCTTTCCAAAACTTCGGCCGCCGCTGCGGGCGCTCGAGCAGCAGCGGCTCCCCGGCGGGCGCGACAGTCGCTGCCGTGGCCTCCTGCCGCCGGTCGCTACTCAGACGGCTGCGTCGGGGCGCTCGTCCTCGTCGGGAGCCGTCCTCCCCCGCGATATCGCGGCTCCACGCCCACCCCGTCGGCGCCTCCCTCCCCCACAAGTCCCCCCCCTCCTCCTCCTCCTCTTCCTCCCGCCTCGGTGTTGCTGTTCGTTGAGCTCCTCCTCCTCCTCCTCCTCCTCCTCCTCTCCTCCTCCTCCTCTCATCTCATCATCATCATCATCATCATCATCATCATCATCATCATCATCATCATCATCATCATCATCATCATCATCATCATCATCATCATCATCATCATCATCATCATCATCATCATCATCATCATCATCCTTCTCTCCTCGTCCTCATCTCCTCCTCCTTCCTCCCCTCCTCCCTCCTCCTCTCCTCCTCCTCCTCGTCATCATCCTCTTCCTCCTCCTCCTCCCTCCTCCTCCTCCTCCTCTCCTCTCCTCCTCCTCCTCCTCCTCCTCTCCTCCTCCTCCTCATCCTCCTTCTCCTCCTCCTCCTCCTCCTTCCTCCTCCTCCCTTCCTCCTCCTCCTCCTCCTCCCTCCTCCACCTTCCTCCTCCTCCTCCTCCTCCTCCTCCTCCTCTCCTCCTCCCTCCTCCTCCTCCTCCTCCTCCTCCTCCTCCTCCTCTCCTCTCCTCCTCCCTCCTCCTCCTCCTCCTCCTCCTCCTCCTCCAGGGGGATGGCGCAATTTTACCAAGGCCCGGCTGGGGCGCCCGGACGCCCGGACGCCTGGGCGCCGGACGCGGACGCCCGGGCGCCTGGCGGGCCAGGCCCAGGCGACAGAACCGCCCAAGGCGCCCGCGCCCGCACGCCCGGACGCCCGGACACCCGGGCGCCCGGACGCCTGGGCGCCCGACTGAGGCCTGAAGCGCCCTGGCGGAACGCCCTCGGCGCCAAGCGCCCGGGCGCCCGGGTGCCCGGGGCCGGGCGCCCGGGGCCGGGCGCCCGGGCGCCCGGGCGCCCGGCGGGCCACGCCCAGGAAACGCCCCGACGCTAGGTGCCAGCGCCCAGGGCGCCCTGGCGCCCGGACGCCCGGACGCCAAGACGCCCAGACGCCCGGGCGCCCGGGCGCGCGGACGCCCGCGGGCGCCCGGACGAGCGAACCGCGCAGACGCCCGGGCGCCCGGGCGCCCGGACGCCCGGGCGCCCGGACGCAGCGCCCAGACGCGCGGGCGCCCGGGCGCCCAGGCGCCCAGACGCCCGGACACCGGGGCGCCCAGACGCCCGGGCGCGCGGGCGCCAGAAGCGCCGGGAACGCCCGCGCCCGGGCGTTCGGACGCCCGGGCGCTCGGGAAACGCCCGGACGCTGGGAGCGCCCAGGGCGACCGCGCCCGGACGCCGTGACGCCCGGGCGCCCGCGGGCGCCCGGACGCCCGGGCGCCAGAAGCGCCGGGAACGCCCGCGCCCGCGGACGCCCAGCCGCCCGGGCGCCCGGGAAACGCCCGGACGCTGGGAGCGCCCAGGGCGCACGCGCCCGGACGCCCGGACGCCCGGGCGCCCGGGCGTCCCGACGCCCGGGCGCCCGGGCGCCCGGACGCGCGAACCGCCCGCGAGCACCGGCAGGCGCCCGGACGCTCGGACGCCCAGACGCCCAGACGCCCGGGCTCCGGGGCGCCCGGACGCCCCAGCGCCTGAAGCGCCCAGACGCCCAGACGCCTGGGCGCCGGGACGCCCGGACGCCCGGACGCCCGGGCGCCCAGGGGCGCCCGGGCGCCCGGGCGCCCGAAGCGCCCAGACGCCTGGGCGCCCAGGCGCCGGAACGCTCGGACGCTCGGACACGCCCGGGCGCCCGGGCGCGTACGCCTGGGCGCCCGGGCGCCCGGACACCCAAGCGCCCGGACGCCCGGGCACCTGAAGCGCTCTGACGCACGGACGCCCAATCGCCCAGACGCCCGGCGGGCCACGCCCAGGAAACGCCTGGACCCTATAGGTGGTACTTTGCGGGTGCCTCCATGTAGCACATTTGGAGGTCACATATGCATGCCTACATATAACTACGACAACCCATCGTATAACCATAGCAACACAAGTTATAAAACACACCAGAAGAAAGTATCCCGGCAAAGCAACCTAACAGCGATGTGTATAAGCACATCTGGAAGCATCCCCCTTAAGATTCAGGTGAGAATCCAGTTGTAGAATTCTGCTGTTCTCGCAGTCGCAGTCGCGTTCGCAACGAAAGTCGCAGTGGCAGCGGCCTTAGGATCCAATGGAATCCAATCGAATCCTAAGGATTCCTAGGGATTCCTAAGGCATCCTTAGGCATCCTTAGGGGTCCATAGGAATCCTTAGGAAACCTTATGAATCCTTAAGAATCCTGATTCCTAGGGATTCCTTGGGATTCCTCAGGATTCCTAGGGAATCCTAAGGATTCCGAAGGATTCGCCTGCCTCGGCCTCAGCGTCAGCCTGCCTCAGCCTCAGCCTCAGCCTGTCTCAGCCTCAGCCTGCCTCAGCATCAGCCTCAGCCTCAGCCTCAGCCTGCCTCGGCTTGCCTCGGCCTCAGCCTCAGCCTGCCTCGGCCTCAGCCTCAGCCTCAGCCTGCCTCAGCCTCAGCCTCAGCCTGCCTCAGCCTCAGCCTGCATCAGCCTCAGCCTCAGCCTGCCTCAGCCTGCCTCAGCCTCAGCCTCAGCCTCAGCCTCAGCCTCAGCCTGCCTCAGCCTCAGCCTGCCTCGGCCGCAGCCTCAGCCTCAGCCTCAGCCTGCCTCGGCCTCAGCCTCAGCCTGCCTCAGCCCAGCGTCAGCCTCTCAACCCCAGCCTGCATCAGCCTCAGCCTCAGCCTCAGCCTGCCTCAGCCTCAGCCTGCCTCGGCCTCAGCCTGCATCAGCCTCAGCCTCAGCCTGCCTCAGCCTCAGCCTGCCTCAGCCTCAGCAACTGCCTCAGCCTCAGCCTCAGCCTGCCTCGGCTTCAGCCTCAGCCTCAGCCTCCCTCGGCTTGCCTCAGCCTCAGCCTCAGCCTGCCTCGGCCTCAGCCTCAGCCTCAGCCTGCCTCAGCCTCAGCGTTAGCCTCTCAGCATCAGCCTGCATCAGCCTCAGCCTCAGCCTCAGCCTGCCTCAGCCTCAGCCTCAGCCTGCCTCAGCCTCAGCCTGCCTGATCCTCCTGAACCTGCCTCGGCCTCAGCCTCAGCCTGCCTCAGCCTCAGCCTGCCTCAGCCTCAGCCTCAGCCTGCCTCAGCCTCAGCCTCAGCCTGCCTCAGCCTCAGCCTCAGCCTCAGCCTGCCTCGGCTTGCCTCGGCCTCAGCCTCAGCCTGCATCAGCCTCTGCTTCAGCCTCAGCCTCAGCCTGCCTCAGCCTCAGCCTCAGCCTCAGCCTGCCTCAGTCTTAGCCTGCCTCAGCCTCAGCCTCAGCCTGCCTCAGCCGCAGCTTGCTCCAGCCCTCAGCATCTGCCTCAGCCTCAGCTCTCTGGCCTGCCTCAGCTTCAGCTCAGCCTCAGCCTGCCTCGGCTTGCTCGCCTCAGCCTCAGCCTGCCTCAGCCTCAGCGTCAGCCTCTCAGCCTCAGCCTGCCTCGGCCTCAGCCTCAGCCTCAGCCTGCCTCAGCCCCAGCCTCAGCCTGCCTCAGCCTCAGCCTGCATCAGCCTCAGCCTTAGCCTGCCTCAGCCGCAGCCTGCATCAGCCTCAGCCACAGCCTCAACCTCAGCCTCAGCCTGCCTCAGCTTCAGCCTCAGCTTCAGCCTCAGGCTCAGCTTGCCTCGGCTTGCCTCAGCCTCAGCCTCAGCCTCTCAGACTCAGCCTGCATTTTTTTCAGCCTCAGCCTTCAGCCTTTCAGGCCTCAGCTGCGCAGCCTCTGTTCAGGCTGCCTCAGCCTCAGGCTGCCTCAGCCTCAGCCTGCATCAGCCTCAGCCTCAGCCTCAGCCTGCCTCAGCATCAGCCTGCCTCAGCCTCAGCCTCAGCCTGCCTCAGCCTCAGCCTCAGCCTCAGCCTGCCTCGCGTGCCTCAGCCTCAGCCTCAGCCTGCCTCGGCCTCAGCCAGCCTGAGCCTCAGCTTGCCTCAGCTCGGGCATTCAAAATATGGCACAGTACTGGTGTTCTGGGAAGACGAAGATCACGAAGTGGCCCATAGTTGGCTCCGGGCAATCAAAATGTGGCCTGGGAGTGTGTTCTGGGAAGACGAAGAACACGAAGTGGCCTACAGTTGGCTCCGGGCATTCAAAATGTGGCCTGGGAATGGTGTCTTGGGAACACGAAGAACACGAAGTGGCCTACAGTTGGCTCCGGGCATTTAAAATGTGGCCTGGGAATGGTGTTCTGGGAACACGAAGAACACGAAGTGGCCTACAGCTGGCTCCGGGCATTCAAAGTGTGGCCTGGGAATAGTGATTTGGGAAGACGAAAAACACGAAGGGGCCAACAGTTGGCTCTGGGCATTCAAAACGTGGCCCAGGAACGGTGTTCTGGGAAGACGAAGAACGCAAAGTGGCCTACAGTTGGCTCCAGGCAATCAAAATGTGGCCTGGGAATTGTGTTCTGGGAATGGATTCATGAGGATTCTCAAAAATTCTTGAGGATTTCTAAGGGTTCCTGGGGCTGCCGGATCTGCAGGATCCTCTGTCCGGTTCCCGCCCAGACCCCCTCTGGGGCGTCAAGATGCTCTCTTTTGAGCCCACTAGAAGCCTATCAGCAAGAGCTGTTAGGTAACTAAGCATTTGCAACTCTGTCGCCAGTTGCAAACACATACGAAGCAATAGGCAATTTGCTAGGTCATTTGTAATTGGTTAAGCTCGGGTGGTGTTCTGATGATACGAAAGGATCGGCGAAGGTGAAAAAACGCTCGCGCAACAAAAAACAATACAGATACAATGGGCCGTCTGTAGATTTAGGTTCGACTTAACTTGATTTAACATGCAAGGGGCCAAACAATCTATGACGAAGGAAAGGATACCAATGAAATTGAGGGGCGCTCATTTCGCGTAGGCTCACCAGGGCGCAGTTATGGCAGGTGTCGCGATCAATTTAGCAATCCTTTGAACATGGCCGTCTCCCGGTCACAATTTCACGACGCGTG